TTAGAATACAACATCTACTGCTTTAAACCTGATTATGATTTTTATTATTATTACTATTATACTTTAATAGTAAAATAAACAACATCAACCACATTAAACCTGATTATGTTTGTGATTGTCATTGTGATTGTCAATGATTTGTAATCATTTTTAGAAAACGTCTACTACTTTAAACCTCATAGATTTAAAAAAAATCTAATTCAAACTAATTTAGTTCTATACCGGTATGAGTTTCTTTTTTATGTTGAACACAAAAGAAGATATTTTGAAGAATCTTTGTTGTTGGTCCCCAATGACTTCCATAGTAGGGAGAGAAATACTATGGAAGTCAATGGGGACCATCAACTTTTTGATTACCAGCATTCTTCAAAATATCTTCTTTTGTGTTCAACATAAGAAAGAAACTTGTACAGGTTTGGAATGTCATGAGGGTGAGTAAATGATGGCAAAATTTTAAAAGTTGGGTTCTCCATACATACTTCTTTTATTTGTAACAAGTAGAGATGGACAAGAATTCCCAAGTACTCAGAAATGATGAAACTACACGCAAATGTAAAAAAATAGCCATGTTTTTTTTTTCGGGTTTAGTTATGGCGTCATTTTCAACAGTGCCTACCACTCTGACAGCAATTTGCGCAAACACTGACTCTGAGTCTTTGGCAGCAGCAGCGCTCTGAGGAGAGATTAGAGGGCGTTCACACAGGACGTATTCTCCTTTTCAAACAGCTAGACAGAGCTGTGGTCTTGAGACATGTTTCTGCTGGACTATTTTTAACCTGACACACCTTAAAAATGACGTCTGGCCATGGACGTCAGTCTGACGTCTGTACAATGACCAACAAAATAATGCAGATCTATACTTCTCTTAAACCATCCCACCTTCTATGAAATGATTAATCTCTCTAGTACTCGAGTAAACAAAATGACCAAAATATCCATCCATGAGCCACCATGTTTCTGTCCTCTCTCTAAATAATTAGCAGGATCTAGGCATTACCTCACATTGTTGCACTATTTACATGGTTTAATTGGCTCTTTTTTTTTAATGAGCTAACATTACATTCCATACAGTACCTGTTAATGTGTTGTACATGCTCATGTGGTTTTGTTTAGGGGCCCTTATGGACTTACATTGTCTTTTGCTTCAAGTTTTGAAGTCATGATGGAGTTACTCTTTAGAACAGCCTTCCAGACACTCCATCACTCACACAACTACACAAAACAGGCCTCAGTCCATCCTCTGCTTTATATGCTTTTAGGGGGAAAAAATTGGCATTCCTGTAAAGAAAGATAGGATAGCCTGTGCAGTAATAATAACAATAATGATGTTTGTCAATGTTCTCAGTAGCTAAATCACCAAAGAGTTGCACCATCTAGAAACAAGAACAAGGAATGAATGACTCATCTACTTAACAACTGTATAAAAACAATTTAGCACAAGAGTGAACAAAGCCAAGCAGGCATTCCCTAGGCAACTATATAAAACACCTCCGCAATGCCCAATACTTTTTCTTACTTTTAACTCTTGGTCTGTATGTACTGTAAGCCGTGTGTGTTTCTTTAAATGCTACTAGCACAAAGTTTGCACTTATTCTGAAATCAGTGATTAATATGTCTATTAGTCTCTAGCCTCTGTGTCTATATGGATGGAGACCAAAACCTTAATTTCAGAAGCAGCACAGTGACTCACAGGGCCTGTATCAGAATCAAAATCAAAATTTTGCACGACTGGCATTCGTTAACTGTGTACTAGGGCTATGCAGAAAAATTATATTTCTGAATATTTTTTTTAATTCTTTTCATGATATTCATTACATATGTATATCTCTACTTATTTTATTCGTTTTTTTATTAGAGGAACTATGAGTTCATAGCAGAAAGACAGTAGTAATTAAAAAAAAAAATTAAAAAGCAAAACACTTTATTTGACTAAATAAACAAAATTATATAATGTAATAAAATTATTTTTATATAATGTAATAAAATGATTAATGTAATAAAATTAATTAATTAATATATATCTTTTAAATAAAACATATCAAAGATGCCAGAACATGCAACATTCTGGATCATTCCATTATATATATATATATATATATATATATTATCAGAAGAATTATATTTTTATATCTTCCGTTTTTATATATACTCACACATATATACAAACGTTACTGTTTGAGGTCAGTAAGGTTTTTTTGGAATGTTTTTGAAATAAATCTCTTACCAAGGGTGCAGCAATGCAGTACAGTAATACTGTGAAATAATAGTAGAAATGTTTTTGTTGTCTGTAAAATATATTTACAATATAATATATTCCTGTGATGGCAAAGCTGAATTTTTGGCATCATCACTCAAGTCTTTAGTGTAACATGATCCTTTAGAAGTCATTCTAATATGCTGATTTAGTCCAAAATAATTTTATTATTATTATTAATAATGTTTTATTAAGATTCTTTGATAAAAAAAAAGAATATTCATTGAAATATCCAAGAATATCCATGATCCATTCTGTCTTATTTAGTATGTAAATGTTGGCTAATTTTATATTGTCAGCCAAACAATATAGAAAATGTTGTGTATATATAAAATATTGCCCAGCCCCACTATGTGTACTATTTCTTGGTGTGGACGCTGATGAGGCAATGAGCTGTTGAGGGGGGGTGTTTATGTGCTTAGATGGGTGGTAAAGCAAACTGCCCATCACTTTCAATGAGCTCCATGGACAGAAACCTAAACGTGTGTCAGAAAGTGACCCTTCTGTTTTCAGGAGGGAAGAAGATCCTCAGTGACCTCTTTCTAAACTCCCCCCCACCTCTTCCCATATCCCGCTGAGTATCTCACAACAGACACATCACAACCTCTCCAGCACCAGACAGTCAATACAACACATAAGCTTTCTGCATGTATGCCAACATAACTGTGCTTATGCAGCTATTTGGTAATAAAAATAAGTAATGTTTCAAAACTAGCCCTCATTCCCTGACAGTTGTTTGACTGGTGTTGTCCACACCCTACCCCCCTCATCTCCCTGCCAAAACAATGGTGATCTCTGCTCTAATAATCTACCGCCCCGATTGGTCTGCCACAGATTACTCTCGGGCCGCCAGCTGTCAGGAGCTCGGCAAAGCTTTTTTTTTTTTCCTTTTCGTTTTTGTAAGATCCCATCCATGATCCTGATATTCCTCAATTTGAGTGTATTAACACGGCTTCATATAGCTAGTCTGGGACCAAACCCAATTATTTTCATGCTAGTAAACAATAGAAGGTTAAAAGGAAACCGGAAAGCCCTACTGTGCCGTGCCGATAAGGGCCGATTCGCTTCCCAGCCTCTCGGGAGCCAAGAGATCCTGGCTTCGGATCAGTCTGGTTGAGTTTTTTCCCCCCTCTTCCCTTCTACTTAAAGCTTTTGTGGATTTAGTTTTTATTTCTGAATCTGAATGGCCACGTTTGACTGCCTCTGTTATGGCGCAGTGTGATTTCGGGTGGGTTTTGGAGGATAAATGTCCCAGAAGCACGCTTTCGGGCAAAATGTTATAGTGTAGAAGGATTAGTAACCAATCAGAGAACCGCAGTCGGTTAATTCCTTTAGAGTCTGCACCATTAAAACAATGGTGAATGTATGTGTGTGTGCATGCGTTTAACCTCATGTTCTGTGGAATTGGAATCGAAATGCCGATATTGTATCAGAATTAATTGAAAGTGGAGACTTTGGGGCGTCTAATGGAAGGCTTTCTGTGAATAGGCTGCCAAAAATAGTAGCATTGCCAGGCGACTGTTATTGCAGCTGCTCCCATAACTTCAGTCTGCATGTACATAGATCCATGGTATTTACATGGGCAGATGCTCTAATGCTGGTTGTTTGTCTCCTAACACAATGTCTGTAGTCTCTAGTGGAATATGATTGATGGCCCAGCGACTGACGGATTCACTCTCTGATAACACGTATGATGCTTATCACTGTACGTGGCTGTCATACAAACAATGCGCCATAATATTATAAGATTTAGTTGAGTAAAAACAGAAAGTAAGCCTTCTGTTATCAGTGATTCCTGGTGTTGTCAGCTGATGATATTTTATGCTGCTTCTATGTAAGGAAAAAAGCTTTCCATCAACGTTTTAGCTCCAAACACCATCAATCGCAAGAACATGCCGAACGACCTCAGTCTTACACCAGCAGTAGTAACACTACTTTGGGTTACTGCAGAGATGTTTATGAGAGGTTGATGGGAAATATATGCATATAGATAACTATAGGGAGCGTGTACAGGTGACAAATGACATTTTAAAGTGCTTTTATATATATATATATATATATGAAATTTCAACAAAATTTTTATATATTATTTTATACACTAAATATGTGTATACTTCATATAATTATTTTAGGGGTGACTTTATTTTACTATATTTTATTTGATGATATGGCAATTGTCTTGAACTTACACTGACATTATTAATTTAATCTAGTGCTGTCAAATCGATTAATCGCATCCAAAATAAAAGGTTGTTTTTATATAATATATGTGTGTACTCACTGTGTATATTTATATGTATATATAATTTATGCATTTAGCAGACACTTTTATCCAAAGCAACTTACAGTGCATTCAGCCTATACATTTTTTACCAGTATGTGTGTTCCCTGGGAATCAAACCCACAACCTTTTGCACTGCTAATGCAATGCTCTACCACTGAGCCATTTCTATGCAATGCAATGCTCTACCAAGTATTTTTTGGCTGGTCATGTGATTTTAAAAGAAATCTTTTTAAAGTTAAGAATTAAGTTGACATGGAAAATACTGAAGCATGTTGGAACAATGCAGTGGCTTTTGTAAACCCGTTTTTAGTTTATTACACAGAAAACATGCTCCTTTGGCCCTCACTTCATCACTGCACTAAGAAAAATGCCATTTTATTAATCACTTTACAACACACTTTAGACAACATCGGTAAATCACACTGAGCCTAAACTATAATTCTCTTTGTGTGCCTCCTTTAGGAACAACAGAGCGTGTCTGCTTGATCCAGGGCACTGTAGAGGCGCTGAACAGCGTCCATGACTTCATCGCAGAGAAGGTGCGGGAGATGCCACAGAGCGCTCAGAAAACAGAGCCGGTTAGCATACTTCAGCCACAGACCACCGTCAACCCTGATGGCTGGTCATGTGATTTTAAAAGAAATCTTTTTAAAGTTAAGAATTAAGTTGACATGGAAAATACTGAAGCATGGTGGAACAATGCAGTGGCTTTTGTAAACCCGTTTTTAGTTTATTACACAGAAAACATGCTCCTTTGGCCCTCACTTCATCACTGCACTAAGAAAAATGCCATTTTATTAATCACTTTACAACACACTTTAGACAACATCGGTAAATCACACTGAGCCTAAACTATAATTCTCTTTGTGTGCCTCCTTTAGGAACAACAGAGCGTGTCTGCTTGATCCAGGGCACTGTAGAGGCGCTGAACAGCGTCCATGACTTCATCGCAGAGAAGGTGCGGGAGATGCCACAGAGCGCTCAGAAAACAGAGCCGGTTAGCATACTTCAGCCACAGACCACCGTCAACCCTGACCGTGTCAAACAGGTGAGGCCTCACTTCTTTCAACTCGCCCTATTTCCTGTTTCTTCCTATTTCCAGTTTCCTCTCAGATCTTGCATGAAATTGTGTACTTCCTTTTTATTTATGCTACAATTATATAAGATTTTATAATAAAAAGCACAATCCCACGGACCCATGAATATAATCAAAGAATGAAATGAAGTGAGGAGGGATATTTTGATTATATAATTCTTTCTAATAAACAGTGTTAACTCAGTCAAACAAACTCTCGAAGATTCTGAGTGTGTCATTGATTGTGTACCGGCTCTCTGTTTAGGTGATTACCGCCACCTGTCACTCCATTATTATGGTCCATTGATCTACTGGGCTCCTGCATTGTTGTCATCCACATCAATGGTTCTTCTCCTTTATTTATCATTTGCTTAATTAAATCACCCGTAGAACAAAGAGAGAGAGTTGGATGTATTCATGAATAATTTACGGAATGCTGCCGTTTTCTGTTCTTAATTTTTAGTTAAGCCTGTCCATTAAAGAAGTGTCCTCTTTGTGCTTATTGAGCAGTCTCTGTGAAGACAGGGCCATAACCTGAATTCCTAGAACATAAGTCCAAGATGCTTACCCCTGCAGAGTTGCCGACCTAATTATTTATGCATGTAATTATAGGGCTTATCAGCGGAGCAACACATCTCACTTTAATGCACTTTATTGTCTCTGCTGGGAGAGCAGCACTGCAGGCACTGCCTGCATTCTGCTGCATTGTGCAATATGACAAGCAATATTTTATATAGGAATGCAGAGAGGTTAGAATGTGGAGATACATTGAGCATATACAGCCAGTTAGTCATAACTAACTTCCTTGAAATTTACTTAGAATTATTCTATTGTTCAATCCTTTGATCAAGATTGACTGATAGCATTGATAGTTTGCACACACGTACTGTTTGTTTAATTTATTATTAAATATATATTCTATATATTATATAATATCTATATATTTTTAAAATATATATTCAAAATATTTTAACATTTTATATATGAATAGTATATGTTTATTTTATTATAGTAATTTTATAATAATATATATAATTATATATTCAGTTATATAGATATATATAGTGATATAATTGCTATAATTAAATTATATAATTATTAATATCTATATATAGCTAATTATTAAAATATATATTATTGTATGTAATAATATATATTTAGTCATATTCATTATGACTATATAATTCACTAAATACTGTATATTTTTGTCTCCCTATATGTATAGGTATATGTTTTTACTTTTTTATATTTTATAATGAAATGTTTAGTAATAAATTAAGTATATTTTATATATTCATTATTCACAAAATATTGTATATTTTTGTCAATATTTAATTCAGTTTTTTATTTTATCATATATGACTTTGCACTAAAGGATTCTAGTCAAAATTGCGATTTGCTTTTGAATCTGGTCCACAGTGTAATGTGATTCAGGTCATATGATCTTGCATTGCCATTGCGTTCTTTTCCAATTGTCACCACACAACACGCGGCTGTCGAGGCATGTATCTCATTGCAGTACACACTGATTGAGAGATCGAGGGCAAGAATTGAAGTCATATTAAGCAACAGCTGATGATTTCGGGTCAGGAACGTAAACCGCTGAGCCTGCAACCAAATGGTCAGGGCAAGAGCGCGACTGACACCTAACTTAATCCACCCGCCCTTCCACACCCACCCGGCAGCACAGGAAATCAATCTGATCATCTAGATGGCTTATTGTTATGGACGCCTCTTTGTTTCAGTGTTTAACTAAACTCAGATGGTAAAGTGCCAGCCTGCAGCGGCTTCCTCTGGTCTGTGCAGGTTTCCTCTGATCTTTTCCTCCGCCTGTTTCCCACATCCTGTTTTTTCAGGAAAAGGACCATTAATGCACAGGAAGACAAGAGTCCCTGATGTTGTCTATAGGTAGACACAGTAAATCACTGCAGTTGGGCATTTGCATTTTCGTGACTGAAGAGACACTGTATATGCAAGCGAACGTTCAATCCTAAAACAGATCAATCCTAATGTCTATTATTCAACTGAAAATCTATAGTACTACATATGGCAATTACAATAATTCTCAAATCACTCAAGGGGAAAGAAATACATATTCTCATTAAGGAATCAGCTGACTTCTGAAGCATATCCACATAGTATGTATTAGGCCTGGGCAATAAAACGGTATCGATATTTATCGACGGTACACCTTCATCGATAACTATATAAAAAATGTTCGATAGCGCATGATATAGGCACGCTTTACGAGTGATGCAGACAGCTCACACAAACAGAACACATGCTGAATTGAGTGCTGGGCCTGCCTGTGATGAGGAGATTGTGAATAAAAAAATTAATATTAGTCAAATTTAAAATAAACATTTGCATTTGAATGCAAAAATAGTACAATCGAATGTTAGGAGTGCGTCAGGGAGCGTCATCAGTGGTGCGCGAGATGCGGTGATGATGTAAGTGACGTTGCATTTTAATGTTTTGTTAGTCTAGCCCACGAGATGCACCGCTGCTGTGTTACTCGTTCAAAATATTAGAGAAATATAGTAGCTCAATGCGTAGAAGATCTTGATTAGGTTAAAACCGAAACCAAGCCATTCACACAGAACGCATATTCAGCACATTTTTACACGGACAAATATGACTGCTGCACTCGCGTCTCATACAAGAGATGCAAAGAAAGTCATGCAAAGTTAAAACAGTTTAACGTTTAGAAAACGCGACGCAAATTTGTGAAGGTTTATTTAATTTCACTGCGTCTCATATGTTTTTAAATGCAATCTGTGTGATCAGCGATTTGGCTCTTTGTATTAGGCTAAGCAATGCATAAACACATGATACGGTTTTGTTCATAATTGTTTATGCAGTTTACAAAATTATATTTGATTTATATATGTTAATTTAGACGTAATGCACGTTTTTATAGACAATTATTTGAATTGACAATTAATGCGCTGCATTATTTTGCTCATTGCGACCTCCTGTGGCCTCGGGAAACAAGTCAAAAGTTTCCTTAAAGGGGTCATATATGATGCAATTGAAATTTTTCCTTTCTCTTCGGAGTGTTACAAGCTCTTGGTGCATAAAGAAGTTGCAAAGACTAAAGTCTCAAATCCAAAGAGATATTCTTTATAAAAGTTAAGAGTCAACCACGCCTACCTAAAACGGCTCGTTCCAACACTTCCCCACATGTCTACATCACAATGTGAGAAGATTTGCATAACGCCACCCAAATGTTCACGCAAAGAAAGAAGGCGTAACTTTTATTCTCGCTGTAGTATTGTTGTTGCCGCCGCCGACATATCGTGAAGGCGCTGTGTGTTTCCTTGTGAAAGCGAAACTACTTTGTTTGGCCTTCCAAAAGAGGACGATATCCACTTCGTCATGCCTGGAGCTGATCCATGCTGGTCGCTGAGGAAATACATAAACTTTGCGCTGTGGATCGCCGGATCGGCTTTCACCGTGGACGAAGCGGAGTCCAGCCCGGGGTCGTCACATGTGGTTGCTGCAAGCCCGCCGGACGCTCCTTCGTCAAATCCGTCGGCCGCGCCGTTCTCAAGCCCCCCTGCCTCTGCTCACTCAAGCCGGCCTCCGCTCACTCAAGCCGGCCTCCGCTCACTCTAGGCCTCCGGCCTCCGCTCACTGAAGGCCGCAGTGTGTGAGACGCTGTTTAGTTGTGAAAGAGAAACTACTTTGTTTGGCCTTCCAAAAGAGGACACAACTAGAAATTAGTGGTTAAGTTGTATTTACAACACTGT